ATTTATATGTGTTTTTTAATGATGTTATTGTATTTTTTATACCTTTATTTTGTTTGTTTATATTTATGTGTGCTGACGATCAAACCCAAGCTTCACACATGCTAAGCAAGGGCTCTACCACTGAGCTACAGCCCCAGCCCCTATATGAGCACAGTTTTTGAGTTCTGTATTTACATTCCTCATTGCCTATGTCTTAAATCTGTGTTCCCACTTGCCCAGACATTCCCTAGTGGCTTCATCATAGATACCTTGTCCCAAACATGTGAAAGTTGCGCTCATTATCTCCCCAGGACCTGTTCTTCCTTCTCTTACTCCTGTGTTCTTTATCACATTGATGAGCCATCTATATAGTTTGTGAAAGATAGATGCTTTGACCCTTCTGTTTTTTTTCCCCTCCACATTCAAAGAAGTCCTTTTGATTTCCCAACCTTAATACTATTGGAATCTATTAATTTTTTTTCTTCATTGCCACTCCTGTGGTTTAAGCTGCTTATCTCTTCAATTACTTCAATATCTTTAACTGGCTTTCCTGCTTTCTGTCTTGCCAGTCTTTAACATTCTCAACCCGTTAGTCAAAGTGAATTTACTAATGTCAGATATAATCATGTCCCTTCCTAGCTGAAAAGTCTTATGATTCATGTCTTCATAGTTTCCTCAGTTAAAACTCGGATTCTTTAATGTAGCCAAAAGACTACATTAATTTTGTCACAGATCCCTTTTTTGGGTTTTTCTTTTCTGCATTATTGTTCTTGTGTTCTTTTCTATTTATACTCAATTAATTGAATTTCTCTCTATGTGATCTATTTCCTAAGTTTAGACATGGTTTTCTCTCTTGAATACTTCTTCCCACAGAAGTCTGTTTGCCCTTTTGCTCAACTCCCATAACTCTTCAGATCTCAGTTTCAATAATTCTTTCAGATTTAAAGTGCTGTTCTAAAAGTAATTATATATCATATCCGATGGGATTTATCCCAGGAATATAAGCTTTGTTCAACATCTGAAAATCAGTTAATGTCATGTCAACAGAGTAAAAATTAAAAATCACATGATCATTTAAATAAATGCAGAAAAAAGCATTTGTCAAAATTATTACCCTTTCATGATAAAAACTCCTTTATGATAAAAAAAACAAACCAGGAAGGGAACTTACTCAGTCTGATAAAGGGCGTCACTAAGCCCCAGAGTTAACACTATACTAAATGATGAAAGAATACTTTGGTCCTGTGATCAAAGATAAAGATGCCAACTTTTGGCTTTTTTTTGGTACCTGGGATTTTACTCAGGGTTGCTCAACCTGTGAGCCACATCCCCAGCCCATTTTTATTTTTTATTTTGGGACAGGGTCTTGCTAAGTTGCCGAGGCTGCCTTTAAACTTGTGATACTCCTGCCTCAGCCTCCTGAGTCACTAGGATTACAGGTGTGTACCACCATGCCTGGCTTAAAGTCATCTAAATGGGAAAGTACGGAGTAAAACATTTGTATTTGCAGGTGTCAGTATCTTATGTGTAGAGTACCTTAATATATCCTCAGGAAAAAAAACCTGTTAAAACTATTAGAAGGGTTTGGCAARGTTGTAAGATATAGGATTAGGATACGAAATCAATATGTAGAAACCACTGTAATTTTATTCCTTAACAATGGAGAATCCAAAAATCAAATTAAGAAAATAGTTCTATTCACAGTCGCATCAAAAAGAGTAAAATACTTAGGAATAAATTTAACCAAGGAAGTACAAAATTTATACTGTGAAAATATTATTGAAAGAAATGGGAAAAATCCCATATTTATGGATCATAATACTTAACTTTGTGAAGATGACAGTTGTCCCTGAACTGACTTACGGATTCAACACAATACCTTCTAGAAACTCAGCCAACTTATTTATGGAAATTCATAAGGCAATTCTGAAATTCATATGGAATTACAGTGAACCTGGAACAGCCTAAACATTTCTAAAAAAGAATGAAGGTGGAGCATTCACACTTCCTTACTGTTTCAAAATGTACAAAGTACCAGTAATCAGGACTTTACTGCCACAGGATAGACATAATAGATGAATGGAAGTGATTTGAAAGTTCAGAAATAAACCCTTATTTTGATGGTCTGCTTATTTTTAGTCGGAATCAAGACTAGTGTGGAAGGGATAATAGTCTTTTTTGAACCAGTGGTGTTGAGACAGCTGGAGAGCCTCTTGTGAGAGAATGGAGTTGAGCCTTCAAACTATGTCCATATTCACTCAAAACGCATCAAAAGCATGGGAGTTAGACTTTATGACTTTGGATTTGACAAATGATTCTTAGGTATAACAACAAACGCATGAAAAGCAAAAGGAAAAAACAGATAAACTGGACTCCATCAATATAAAAATTTGTGTGCTTCGAAGTATACCATCAAGAAAGTGAAAAGAGTCCACAGATGTGAGAACAAGATTAATGAATGCAAATCATGGGTCTGAATATATAAAGAACTTGACAACTCAATAATAAAACAGCCCAATTTAAAAGATTTGCATAAACATTCTACAAGGAAGACATACAAATGGCTAATAATCAGCATATAAAAACAGTACTTGACATCACTAGTGATTAGGTAAATGGAAATGAAAATTACAGTGAGATACCACTTTATCCACTTGAAGGCTACAGTAAAAAAAGTTAAATAATATTAAGTGTTGGCAAGGATGTGTAGATATGTGCTCTTTTATACATTGTTAGTACATGGAATCATGCAGCTGCTATGGAGAAGTCTGACAGATCTTGAAACAGTTATCATATCACCCAACAATTCACTGTAAATGGTAGTACATATTCAAAATAAATGAAAACCTGTCTATAGAAAAACCTTTTCAATAAATGTTCATAGCAGCAGCATTCCTAAAGTAGAGTAGAAATATAGTCCTAAAGTAGAAACAATCAAGAAGTCCATCAACAAATTAAGTGTGTACAGTAGAATAATATTTGACATAAAAAGGAATGAGATCCTGATGGATGCTACTATGTGGAAACATGCTCAGTGAAGGGAGGCAGTCACCAAAGTCTACATCTTATGAGATTCCCTTCATTAGAAACCCCAGAAAGAAGATAATGCTAAGAGAAGTTAGCCAGTCTCAAAAACCAAATGCCGAATGTTTTCTCTGATATAAGGAGGCTGATTCATGGTGGGGTAGGGAGGGGGAGTGTGAGAGGAATAGATGAACTCTAGATAGTGCAGAGGGGTGGGAGGGGAAGGGGGTGTATAGGGTTAGAGATGATGTTGGAATATGATGGACATTATTAACCAAAGTATATGTATAAAGACACAAATTGGTGTGAATATGCTTTGTATACAACCAGAGATATGAAAAATTGTTCTCTACATGTGTAATAAGAATTGTAATGCATTCCGCTGTCATATGTAAATTAAAAAATTAATTAAAAAAAAAAGAAACCCCGGAACAGGAAAATTTATGGAGATTGAAAGTAGTTTCTTTGAGTGGGCAGGGTAGGAAAAGAGGGATGGTTGGGGTGATAGCTAAAGAGCCTGGGATTTCTTTTTGAGATAAAAACGTTCTAAAATTGTGATGGTTACTCATTTTTATGAATATCCTAAAAATCATTGACTTTTGCCCTTTAAATGGATGGATTGATTGTATGATATGTAAATTATAGCTCAATAAAAAATGTTTAAAAGAAAAAATTCAAGCACTATTCCAACATACTCATTTTGGACCCATTACATATTCCTGCATTATTGCTCATATGTTTGAATATACCATTTACTTGTCTGTCTTGTTCAGTAAAGTACAGGGTTTTAAGAGTGTGTTAGGTAGTACAGTATGTAATACCTGTAGTACATTCATACTGTAGTGATGAATGTGTTTCTTAAGGCTTAGCCAGAACAAGAATGACATGGCACAAAAAAATCTGTTGAAAATTGCAGAATCAGAAATAACAAATGCTGAGTTAAATGACTGTATAGAATCTAACTGTGCTAACTAGGTAATGTGAAATGTGAGTACAATATATCATATTTGACATCAGAAGGACCTCTAAAGAGAAAGATGCCTGGGATGTACAAAGTAAAAAGAGCAATGACTATTGTGGTGCATTTAGTTCTTGAATTTAGTGATGTTCATGCATCTGCACTTTACAATTTAGAGAAATAAGAGAAAGTTTCAGCTGTAACTTGTAAAAGAGTAATATACAACTACCATAGATGTACCTTCCCAAATGTATCTATTTTTATGGCTTTGCATACCACTGTGGGAACTTTGTACAGTGAACTCATTACAGGTTATTGTCTGATTTACAATATAAGAGTTTTTGCTTGTTTTCTTGCATCCACTGGAGAGTATTCATGGTAGTTTCATATAAGGAGTAACTTGCAGCTAATTAGCTCATATTTAATTGATACATTTAGTAATCTACTTAATTAGTAGAGAATGAACAAATTGAAGGTGTCAAAGTAATGATTTGAAATAGACTAAATTTGTCTGTATGGAAACAGGATTATAAAATGAAATGCTGGACAAATACTCTGAAGAGTAAAACCTCAATATACATGACAAAAATGTACCTTGGGCTATAGTAGTGTGTTTAATTTATTAACATTGAAATACATACTGTAGTACATGTATATGCTTAGTTTCACTTAGCATATGCATGAAAACATTCTTGAATTTCTGGGCATCTGGCTTTTCTCCCCTTTCTTGGCTGGGGCAAGGTGATGTGATTTCTTAAACATTTCAGCCCCTGACCCTAAATGTTCTCTGAAAATTCAGTCTCTAGGTTGGATAGACTTTCACAGACCTTCCTAGAGTTAGTGATGATTTCCTTTCTTGGTTTCTTAGCTATGCTTATGGGAAGTGCATGTAGTCAGGAGTGGGTTTGCATGTTTTTTTTTTCCTTTAAATTCAAATATAACTATGAGATTAAAGTAAAAAGTACAAAACAAAAGTGTAAAGGGTTTAAAACAGTTGAGTAAGGTATTGGAATAGTACATTATGGTTTTTATTCCCTAGGTTTTACCAATTCTTGAGATTCTGTATCATGTTGAAGAAAGAAATTCACACCATGTATATATGGCCCTTATAATATTATTGATCCTTACAGAAGATGATGGCTTCAATAGGTCCATTCACGAAGTGGTAAGTTACAGTTACTTTGACCCCAGTCAAGAGTTACAGTGCAGATATGCTTCTGCATACAATTTGCTGGGGGAATCCTCTCATGCCCAGTTTTTGTGTGTGTAATTCCTTTCTTCCTTGACACCCATGGTACAGATCTACTGTGGAAACACCTCAGCTTAATTTAGGAACAGTTCTTTCTCCCTGAGGCCTGGAGTTGCTCTCCAGCTGCCTGCTTCACACAGCCACAGCTGATGGCTGCACATCCTTCCTGAAGGTCAGGTTCGCTGTGCTCCTGGCCTCTCTCCTAAACATACCTGCAGAGGTTTTCTGAACTCTATTGGGAAAGCTCTACTTTTCAAAAGGCATCTATCTTTTCTTATTTTCAAGTCACTTTTTTCTGTCACTTTTATCTTATATGCCATATCTCTTTCAGATATATCTCCTTTTTGTCTATTAATGATCTCTTCCTCTGTTTTTCAGACTGGGTTGGGCTTATTTATTTATTTATTTTGTCTCTTCTATTTTAAGAAGGAAGAAGCAAGCACATTAGCTCCGTTTACTTGCTAGAACTGAAAAAATCTCATAATTCACTTTTATTTACTGTTTTAACCTTTCTGAGTGAAGCTGTAGCTTATCAAAAACTGTAGACATGGAACAGTACCTTTTTCCTTAAAGCATTATTTTTTACTTAAACCTTTCTTCTCTGTTACAGATATTAAAAAATATTACTTGGTATTCAGAACGGGTTTTAACTGAAATTTCACTGGGGAGTCTCCTGATTCTGGTTGTAATAAGAACCATTCAGTACAATATGACAAGGACAAGAGTAAGTATTCCTCAGCTTTTTTTTCCTTTAATTTTTATGCATATAGTATAAGTAAGACTACAATTTAAAATAATCTTAATTTTGGAGGCACTAAAATTCTCATGAAATTCAGTGGGAAAATACACATCAGCATATAGTCACTCCATTGCATGATTGTTGGATAATGTCTGTTTCTTAATATTTAATGGCTACACTAGCAGAGATATTTTATATGAAATAGAAAACAAGCAGTGCCACACATTTAGATCAAAGTTATGTATCTTTGCTGAACTATAACATGATTTGCCTTTTTCAAAGCATCAACAACAAAGTATAAAAGGTGTAAACAGAAGAAAATATTAATTCAGATGGAGAAAATATGAATTCAGATGGGAAAGAAATGTAGAAGAGAGAGAATACTTGAAAGAGTAAAAGAAAAATTTTTACTGGATTCTGTATGTACTACTGATGAGTGAATTTCAGTTCTAGTCTATAGCAATATATTATCAAAGAAAGTAATGTATAGAAGTCATAGCTAAGTGGTCCAGTTTACTTAAATATTTTTGCTTATCTCTCTCTATAGGGCTAATGTAGATCTATGTTTATATTTATTATCTGAGACCCTAGGTGCCAGATGTGTTTTGGTATAGAGAATTCATTGTATTTTAGGAAGGTAATTATAGTGTATGTATTATATTACGTGTGATCATTAGGGTCTGAAGCAGCACACTATATTTAACATTAATATTTCCACAGCAAACTATTTGAGTGTTCACCATGCTGGGAATGATGGACACCATCAAGTGGCATAATATTTTGTGTTAGTTGCTTCTAGATGGGTTGTGAAAAAACATTGACTTCTCTGAACTTTATGGATTTGGGAACTAGAGAAAAGGAATTATGCACCTGAACTTTCTAAAATAAGTAATAACTGAATTTACACTTGCTCCTAGTTAATCTTGCTTAAGATGTGACATGTGCTTTAAACTTGCTGTGTTCTAACAGGACAAGTACCTTCACACAAATTGTTTGGCAGCGCTAGCAAATATGTCAGCACAGTTTCGCTCCCTCCATCAGTATGCTGCACAGAGGATCATCAGGTAAATATAAGCTTTAAAAGAAATAGTGGTGTCTGCCTTCTGGCTGACCTATGAGTAGAATACAATGTTGGTCTCTTTTTAAATGTAAGAAATACCAAAATTTCCAACTTAATTTTCATCACCCTCTTCTTTGGTTGAAAATATCTTTCTATTTTCTCATCTACTTTTTGATCAAAGTTCATTTTATTTACTTTTAATTTTTTTTTCTAGTGGTAGGTATTGTGTGATATGTTTTTACAGGGGAGCAGGTGCTTTTCTGAGTAATGCAAACAAAATCAAGATATTTGCTGAGTATTTCACAGAACATCATGTTACACTTTAAAGGTGTTTTCTGTATTYGTTTTGAGGAAATTCTTTATCTTGGTGCTGGGGTTTGAATCAGGGTCTTGCTCATGCTGGGCAAATATTCTACCACTAACCTATATGTCCAGCTCTGACAATTCTTTTTATAGCAATTTACCATTGTGTTCATTTCTTGTTGCCATAGGAAATTGCCTCAAATTAATGGGCTTAAAGCAGCATACATTTGTTATCTTACAATTCTATAGATTAGAAGTCTAACATAGGTCTCACTAGGCTAAAATCAAAGGTCAATAGGGCTGCTTTCCTTTCTTAAGGCTCCAGGAGAGAATCTTTTTCTTGATCTCTTCTAGCTGTTGGAGGCTTCCTCATTCCTGGGCTTATGATCCCTTCCACCATTTTCAAAGCCAGCAACAGCAGGTTACTGAGTACTTCTCATTTCTCATCACTCTGCCCTCCTCTGTTGTTTCCTCTGCCACTTAGAGGACCCTTTGTGATTGTTTCTGCCCTACCCAAATAATCCAGGTGATCTCCTTTTTCTCAAGATCTATAACAGAATCACAGCTGCAAAGTCCCTTTTGCCATGTTAGGTAACATATTTATAATTTTKGGGGATTAGGGTGTGACATTTGGGGCACTTGGGGGTGGGGGTGGGGGCCGGGCATTGTACTGTGTGCCACCACTGTCATCACCAGAAACTCCTTTCCCACCCTCTGCCAGTGACATGATCTTTAAAGTATAGAGAGCTAATTAACTAATCATGAATAGATATCACTTTCAGGGATTTTCAGCATGTGGTTACTTTTTGTATTCTAGTAGGATGCTCAATGTTAGCAGCTCTCAAATAGAACACTTGTTACATGTCAGCAAAGTCATTGTTTTCTTTAATCCTTTTAGGGAAGTACAGGTTAGAACATTAGTTTTTGTTTCTAGCCATTGGTGCTGAACCCAACTCCATATCACTTTTAAGCTCTGATCTCATATTCTGCCCATTTGTTATATGCTTATTGACCTGTGCTCATTTTTAATAGTAACTTGAAATTGACTTCTGTTCTTTATTTATCTTCAGAATAATAGAGGATATTTTGTATTAACTCATTATTTAAATTATGTCTGGTCTTTATACATTCTACTGTATTTGAAGGGATTGTGCTTGAGAGATTTTTTTTAGTTGGCTAACTTTGGACTAACCTAAATTTTATGATTTAAAGTAGACCTGACAGTCTCTTTATACTTCTCACATTGTTAGGCATCCTGAAGAGACTTTAGTTTCCAAAAGTTAATCTTTTCCACTGTACTTTATTTCAACATGACAGATTTAATGATTTCTGTGCTGTTTTGTAGTCTTTTTCTATTCATAGATGCAGAGGTTTATGATGGTTTTATGAAGATTTCATCATAAGGGCTGGGGATGTGGCTCAAGCGGTAGCACGCTCGCCTGGCATATGTGCGGCCTGGGTTCAATCCTCAGCACCACATACAATAAAGATGTTGTGTCCGCTGAAAGCTGAAAGATAATATTAAAAAAAAATTCTCTCTCTCTCTCTTAAAAAAAAAAAAAAAGATTTCATCATAAGACTCATTTTTCTCAACTGATCAACTCTGTTCAATATGAAAATGCCAAAGGAATTGGTTCAGAATTTAAGTTCTGATAAAATGTATTAAGTAAGGTTATTAAAAATTAAAATTTTCTAGAGTTGGGGAAAAATGAAAATAAAGGCCCTGTGCCTAATTTTCATGTCTGTGATGCCAAAGAAAAAAAATAAATCAATCATGGTTGAAGAAGTAAAAAACATAATTTAAATTTGTGATGAATGAGTGTTTATATTAAGTTTTCATCAATAATAGTGCTTTATTTTATTTTCTTGGATTTTTATTGAGTATTATATGAGTAAGGAACTATGTTAAGCAATACAAGGAATATCAGAATTAGCAATAAAGATTCCTGCCCTCAAATAATTTAGTTCAGCAGCAGCAATAGGTCAAAAGACCCTAGCCTCGTACATATAAATATGTCTTATATTCAGCAGAATGTGGTAAACATTCTAATGAAATAAAAATTCCTATAGTGGAATAAGTTGTTGGTTCAGAGAATGGTGAGAACATATTTCATTGAGAAATTAGACGCAGTGACTAGAGAGGCTGGCCAGATAACCACCATAACAAAACCTCTCGAGAGGGAGGATGATTTATAGTAAAAAATCACCAGTCCCATCTGATTGGCATATTGTAGACTCATATGGGATTATAGGTGAGGAGACAGACAGAACTGGAGACTCTAAGCTTTAGATAATGGAAAAGTAATCTTTAATAACAACAAAATATAAAAAGTAAGTGAATGAGTTGTAGATGGATTTTTTTTTATTGGTTGTTCAAAACCTTACAGAGCTCTTGACATATCATATTTCAAACATTAGTTTCAAGTGAATTATGAACTCCCATTTTTACCCCAAATACAGATTGCAGAATCACATCGGTTACACATTCACATTTTTACATAATGCCATACTAGTAACTGTTGTATTCTGCTACCTTTCCTATCCTCTACTATCCCCTTCCCCCATCTTCTCTTTCTATCCCATCTACTGTAATTCATTTCTCTCCTTGTTTTTTCTTCCAATTCCCCTCACAACCTCTTTTATGTAGTTTTTTATAACAATGAAGGTCTCTTTCCATTTCCATGCAATTCCCCTTTTCTCTCTCTTTCCCTCCCATCTCGTGTCTCTGTTTAATGTCAATCTTTTCTTCCTGCTCTTCCTCCCTGCTCTATTCTTAGTTGCTCTGTATTACGCAGCACTAAAAAATGACAAAATCATGGAATTTGCAGGGAAATGGATGGCACTAGAGCAGATTATGCTTAGTGAAGCTAGCCAATCCCTAAAAAACAAATACCAAATGTAGATGGATTTTAAGGAAAAAAAACTTTTAGATTTCTAGGGTCAGCCATTTCAGTAGGTGATATTCTTATGTTCTGTTTGGTGTCTGGGAGAAGCTCAATCCTCACAAGTTCCCAGGTGCTGCCAGTGCTTCTTGTCCAAGGACCACATTTGAGTAACTATTGTGGACCAGAGAATCCATGTCATTCAGGAGGAAGCTTGTTAGCAATGGCAGAGTATGGGCATTGCTTTGGACCTACTTAGTTAGAATATTCTTTTTAGCTTGATCCTTTTGAATGATTTGTATGCACATTAAATTTTTGGCCTGAAAATCAAGATTTATTACCCAAGAAAATACTTGTCTTGAATTGGAAGTGAGTCCATCTTTTTGTATCTTGAGGGAACTTATTTCCTACTGTATTTTTGTGTTTAGGGTTAGAATTGCAAAGTTTGATAAGAAATGCATGAACAAAACTTCTTAGATAACAGAGATTTACAGAGAAATGCACCTCTAGATTTACTAATGGTCAGGTAACTCTTTTGAGTGAGAAGTGACGAATTCTCATGTATACTTTTTCTAAATCCTCTTTTAGAATATAGTTTTATATCTGTCAGTTTCAAAACTTCAAAGAGCCAGTATTTCATGTGATACTCAACAAAACGGATAACAGTAACACATTTTGTTGCTATGAAAGGATTTGAATGAAACTTTTAAAAATCTTCTTAGCTATATATAAATGTAAAGAATGATTTCTTACGATGCCTTGGCTATTCATTTTTAATTAGACAGTGTACCTTTCACAAACTCTCAATGTCTAGAAAAGTTGCAAGCTGATATGATTTGAGTTCTGCTCAAATTTATAAAATTATTTTGAATGTGCCATATAATATGGATTTTTGACAGGTTCCTTGTTTGAAGTTAATGATTCACTTTAAAGACATTTATGGAGGAGAGTAGATTATATGCAAAGGATTGCCTGGGGTACAAATGTCCTGCCTTAGAACTTTCCTTTTCTGCCTCTCACATCCCTCTCACTGGCTGCTGCTTCTGGCTTCTCCACCTTTGCTTAGCAGGTAGTTTTCTCTAGTAGCTCATTCTACTTTTTTTTTTCTTCTGACTTTACACATTTTCTTTTCTATAATTTCACCAGCTGTCCATTTGTATACTGGAAACCACCCAAATCTATATTTTTCATCTAGACCTTTGTTTTTCTTTCTCTTTAAATGTACCAACAGGCAGTGAAGTGTAGTGGGTAATGAATGAGCCAGCTGTCAAGTGGGTCACTGTCAGTTTCTGACTCAGCAGCTAATTACTAGGGCAAGAGCTGGAAAGAAGGGCCAGGGATAGAGAGTTACATGCTAGAGCTACATGTCAAGGTTGGGATCCCAGCTCCAAAACTGACTGGCTATGGAATCTTGGAGAAGTTCTTCAACTTCCTATGTAGCAGTTTCCCCATCTATAAGATGAAAACATCTCAAAGGACGATGATGAGAGGACTAAGCGAGTTAATACTTTGTAATATTTGTAATGTGTACTGTGTGTTAGTAGCTGAGCACTGACTCTTTTGGACTTCATTCCCTGGACAGCCCATTCTTACTGTAAGCTTTTATTATGTTTAGCTGATTTTTAAAGAACTCTTTATTTTAAATTTTATATCCAAGATAATGACCTGCACCATAGCTACCTGAATTGCCAAGCCAGAAACCTGCAAGTAATTCTGTCACACTTCTCCCTTACCCTCAAATTCTATATCATTTGGCCTCTGTGACTCTGTTGCCTTTGCCTTGGTTCACTGTTCACCATTTTCAAACCTGAACTTTGTG